GAACAAAGAACACACTTTCAGAAATGAAAGAACAGAGCCTTTCCCCAGACCTGGGTAAAACATGCAGAAGAAAATGACAGTTCTGGACAAATTCTGCCATTATGTGAAAGTAACCCTTGTCCTACCTGTAAGGAGAGGCCCCCAGCCCAGGCTGGTAAACCTCATCCTTCAAGCTGGTGCACTGCCTACAAAAAAGCAGTCTCTGCAGAGGATCTACAAAGCACTGCAAGGAAGACACTGACAACATCACATAGGGTTTGTAAGAGCAGAAACTCAAGAAAGTCTTGAACAAAGTCCCAAGGGAGCCTCTCCACAGTAGGATAAAGAGAAAATGGACTGCATAAGCAGAATAATACAAAAATTTTTTTTGCATACTGATTTCTTACGGAACAACAGATAGCCCACTCCTGCTGCGGAGACACAGAAAAGGAAGAAAATGCTGATATATTTAAACAGAAGTCTTTTCCACTCAGCTTTCCAAACCAATCTCCTTAAGAGCTCTGAATCTGGCTGAATATTTTATTTTGCTGAATGTCATTGAGCTAGCATTCAGGCAGTTGGATGCAGCAATGCTAGAGCCAGGACTTTTATTCTAGACAAGCATCCAGAAGTCCTGGTAGAACGCGAGAACAAAGATCTTCAACAGATCTCATTGCATCATCCACCCTCCCTTTGCACAGATAACACCCCCAGCTCAAGTCTGTCCCATTTTGCCAGAAACCCAACACCATCAAGATGAGTAAAAAGTAACACAGCAAGCCAGGGGATGGGAAAGGCCTCCCAATGGAAAATGGATATATTACTCTTCTGAAAATGAATGTTTGAAATGCAGAGTTCTGGCATGCAGCAAGTAAATTTATCTCTAGGAATTCCCATTTACAGCATATTCCCCTGGGTGCTCAAGAAGTGCCTGCTAAATTGCCAAGGAGCTCTGAAGACCAGGAACATGCACAACCATTGCTGCAGGAGGATGCTGATTGCACCAGTTACAGCAAATAATCATGTTCCTTCTTGCCTCCTGAAATAGTATACAGCTGCACTGTTGTTTGTTGGTACTTGTACTTCTGAAAAAGCAGGAGTGCTCTGCATGTTAGATGGCAGACTGTCAGCTTAATGACCTTTAAGGAGCTCCTCAAGGAGTCTGAATTTGAAGGCAATGCAGATAATTCCACACAGGAATGGGAGCTATCAAACAGATGTGGCCAGAGGAATCAGAGAGACTACTACAGTTCAGGAATTTATTGCAGAAGAGCAAACAATGCATATACACAACAGGCAGACAAAAATACTAAGATATTGTGTTGCTTTATAAAGCTTGGGGGATGTATAGCAGGCTACAAGGCACAAGAGACTGCAGTTATGTCCGAGGGAACAGCTTTCCACAACACATTTCTGAAAGAAGACAGACAGTACCATTGTTTGAAGTCTCTTTTTGAAGACAGAGTCCAGGTCAACAAAAGATCTGTGGTAAACTGATAAGATCTACACTCCAACTCAGAAGATTTGCTTATTGACTTCAAAACAAAGATCTTTTTAATTATGCTAAATGAGTTCACTCCACAAAGTGATTTCCTTGTAGTAAGTCCAAAAGCTGAAACATGGACAGACAGGTACTTTCTGCTTCCTTCAAGCAAGCTGTTCTGACTGTAAAACACATCCAGAGTGCTTACTGGCATCAAGAAAAGACAAGAAGTGAGGACACCTGCGAGGACAAATGAGGTGTTCTCATCACAGATTTGAGCTGAGTGGAGGTTGGGTGGACAAACATTAAAATACATAAATGAAAATCAAGATGACCCCTAAAACAGTCCTAAAACCCTGAGGTACTACCAAGGACAGAATCACTATCCCAAATAGAAAATTTCCCACAGAAGTGTCAATACAACAAAGGCTTAGGATAAACCTGTCTTCAAAATCACTAACAGGAATAAAATCTGCTGAAATAATTACATGGAACCTCCCCCACTATGGTGAGTCCTAGTAAAAAAAAATATGGCAGGTTGTTTTTTTGCTGTTTTTGTTTTGTAGTTTCTTTTAGTAATGCTCCTTGAAAAGGTTTCAAGATGACCAGTGGGCTGAATGAGACACCCATTTTAACAGCTGACCCCACGCTTTTGAGATGAGCCAAGCTTCCAGAAAAGTAGAACATGGTTGCCAGTCCAGGGTGAAGGAAAACACGAGATCAGTTCTATTAAATGTTCTTTTTCTTACCAACCATGGCCATGTATGAAAGGCTTCCAATTCCAGAACAAAGGAAAAGGCTGAGGATACAGTGCATTTTGTCTCTTCTCCTGTAGCTCCAAGGCTTTCAGTTAACAGCACACAAAGAACTGTCTGAAGGGAGACTACTGACACAGTTTTCTTCTTGGTGGTTAAGATCCAGTAATAACATATTTGAACTGTTTAAGGCGTGGAAGGCCTCACCCTTTACTGCTGAAAAGCTCACTGCCTTCAGTCAGAAGATTCTACTTCTTATTCCTCTCCAGGGATGTCCAAGGATGGGAATCTTTATGATCTCTCCACACCCGTTATAGTCTCTGTGACATTAGCCATACTAAGCACAACCACAGTAAGTTGCAACCTATCAGCTGCCTCCATCCTTTTCCAGGCAGGGAATCAGTCCACAAAGCCAATTGTGGTGAGAGAACAATTAGAGTGACCACTCTCAACTAGAAGCAAACCGATGTCAACACCCGCGTGCCCCACCAGCTGGCTTCTAAGACTTTCTTTACCTATTAGTCCCACTGTTACTTTGGTTTTTTTATATTACCGAAATAAATGCATAAAAAGCTACATTTGCTTTGCAAACATGTAGCATCTGCTGTCATGCCTTTCTAGTGCTTCAGTGACAGACGGAAGAAAGCACTGACGAAACCACCTGCTGCTGAGGCCTCTTGCTAATTGGGAGAGTCATAGGACTCACTGGTAAAGCAGGGGATTACATCTTATCTCCTGAGCTTCTTCACAGGGTACATTCAGCTCTTTAGTATGCATGAACTGAGATTTTTTGGGGAGAGGCTCCAGAGAGAACTCATTACAGCCTTCCTGTACAAAAAGGGAACTTAATAAGTAGGAGGGAGACTGTATACAGTCTGATAGTGACAGGACAATGGCAAATGGTTTTAAACTAGAAAAGGAGACACTTAGGTTAGATATGAGAAAGAATTTTTTCAACTCAGAGAGCAGTGAGGCACTGGCACAGCTGCCCAGAAGCTGTGGTGCCCCATCTGGAGGTGCTGAAGGCCAGGCTGAATGGGGCCTTGGGCAGCCTGAGCTGGTGGGGGGCAGCCCTGCACACAGCAGGGGCTGGGACTGGGTGGGCTTTAAGGTCCCTTCCCACCCAAGGCATGTGGTGCTTTTAGAATAGTTTCAGCTAGTCACATGAAATAGACAGTGACGACTGCCCAGCCTCAACTGGATGAGAGACATCTTGGCGAGTATCAGTTATTCCTCTTACTGTAAATATTCTTCTTCATTATCCAGTATCCACAGCAGCACCAAAAAGAGTTGCCAGTGGAAAGTGATTTAACTCTAGAAACCAGAGCACTCACTTTTTTCCTAAGGTGGCAGGGAAGCAGTGCTACGAAGAAGATGAACCCTATAGAGTTTAGGTCTGTTCTTAGTATGGGCCTTTCCTTCCACAAATGCCCTCCCAGAATTCCTCTTGACCTCCTAGCATACCCAGAGGGAGAAGAACACGTAGGTGGGAAGAGATGATTCTCTGTTATGCTGATCAAAGGGAAAAAGGAGCATACTTTCTTCAGGGGGGTAAAGAAGGGGAAAAAAAGAAAAAAGAAAAAAGAAAAAAAAAAAAAGGATATTCAGTGTAATTTTAAGAGAAGCTGTAATGGTATATTTTCAACAACACAGCAGAGACTCAAAGGAAACAAATGCCCAGAAAATACTTTGGGACAGATGAGTGTGATACAGCAACTCAGAGTTCCATCATGACACAGAGAAGCAGCCGCTCCTAAGACAAAAGGCCCAGGGCTCAGAAACTTGAAGTTCAGTTGGTACCAGAGTGCTCAGCAGAGCAAATAGGCCTTGCAGTTCAAAGAAACCAAGGACATGGTATGCTGGAAATTGAAACACAGGCACTGCAAAAACCAAAGTACTATTCTCATTTACACAAATATCACAGTCAGTAAGCTGGAAATCCTAGGAGCCTTTTGTCCACTTGAAGGTGACAGGGAGAACACTGTATGTCTTTTCTTGACTGGTGCTCACTTCAGCAGGAAATGCTATGGAGAAGCCATGCAAACATCAGAGAGTGAACTCCCACGTAGAATTTGAGGATTCTGCAGCACTAAGATATCAGATCAAAAGGTTCAGCTCTTCTGGGTTATTATAGGATGGTCCCTCACCCTCCTGCGAGAGAAGGGTTCCAGGCAGCTACTTTGTACTCTTTGAAGAGGTACTGACAAGAACAGACTCTGAACAAAAGTCTATCTCCAAAGTCAAATGGGAAATGAATTTGTGCATTATCACAAAGCCTCATATGCTGCAAAGCTGGCTTCTAGCATGACCTCTGTAGCCTGTGAGCAGAGGAATGGAAAAATACTGTTGCTATACAAGTTGCTATACAAGCTTGATATTGACCACCAGAAATTGTACTCTGGCTCCTGCAGAAGCCAGATGCAAACGAGAAGCACCTGCTTACCTGTACTCTGCCTTGCTATCACGGGTGGTGAGACACTGGTAACAAAACAATAAGCCTGCATGTATGTATGGCAAGATATGCCACGACTGGAGGAATAGGTCCCAGTCTGCTTGTTACCACTCCTCACCTCACCACGAGGAACCAGAACCCCATTTAACAGCTCTGTGAACCCTGCACGCGGTGCGGAAAGCAGCACGAGGGAAGGGGCAGGGCAGCCACACGGGCCCAACTCTAAGGATAAACTTCGAAGGGTAAGGCACGTAATGAGGGAACGAATCTCAGAAGACAGCAACAAGCTTCCGTGTGGGACACAGCGAGGATGTCCTGGAGCTACACCCACCTCTCCCGTGGACGCAGAAGAGGAGTTCTTCCTGCTGAGGCTCTCACCAGAGAAGAGGTCCTGGCGAGCCCGCCGGCCCATCCTGGGCACCTGTGGCAGAGGAACGAAGGGCACGCAGTCACCGACACGCACGGCTTCAGGTGGCCCGCAGAAGGCGGCCATAGCCGCGGGAAGGTCAGAGGGGAACGCGACCACCACCCGCACGGCACGCTGGGGGCGGCGCCCCCCGCCGGCAGCGCCCCGGCCCGCTCACCCCCGCCCGGCGGGGCACCTCTGCCCGTTCCCGCTCAGCCTCCATCCGCCGCCGCCGCCGCCGCTTCCGGCACTCGGCCCGCCCCGCGTCCTTAGCAACCGGCAGCGGGGCCCGCCCCAGCCCGGCCCTCTGCCTGCCCGGCCCTGCAGATAGCGTTGCTGCGGATGGGCCCCGTGCGAGCTGTACGCATTAAACAAGGTCCCGGCCTATTTGCTGCATTTTTCTGCTTTCTCTGACACCCCTCGCAGCCTCCAGCCATCCTCATTAGCTTAAGCAGCCACCGCTCCCTAATTCAGCTGCGGCAGCCGAAGGCTGCTCCCCGCCCGTTCTCTACGCTCCAGAGTAGCGTTCTGCCTGCCCCGCTTCGCTGGGAGCTGTGGTCTGGCTGGAGGCCTTTCGGAGGTCTAAAGACGTTGTGTCAGAGAACCCTCTTTCTGCTCCTTGCCTGCGTTTTCAAGCAGTTGTGCTGTAGCTGTGATGATCCGAGAATTAAGTGAAATGAGGTTTGTAGGCAGAGGCAATAACTTTTTATGAGACCCACTGATGCAGCTGGAAAAAGCCATACACGCAGCACATCTGTGCCCGAAAGCTTGTCTGTTTTTTCCAGCTGTATCAATTGCTCTAATAGAAGCTACTATCTGTCCTTTCATGTTCAAGGAGCTCGGTAAGCAAGACGTGGTTTTCCTCCCCTGAAGCCAGGCTGGTTGGGCGCTGTGACACCGTCAGCCCCCAGACTGTGGTGATTCTGTGTCACTGACAGGCTCAGTATCCACACCAGGCAGAAGGGCACCACTCACTGTCTCCACACTTCACCACAGGAGCCACGGGCACGCAGCCCTGCATCTCCCACCCCCTCTCCGACAGGCAGCCGCAGGGTGCTGCAGCCGCAGGAGGGATTGGAACAGGTCACAGAACAGCAGGACTTGTGGGTTCACTCACCTGGCTGTGCGGAGCAGGACTCAGAGAGCCCTCCAGCACTGTGCTGCTGACTGCTTCTTAACCAGGCCTATGAAGTGCTGTGTCTTGTCCTCCGCCTGCACAGAGGAAGCCTGGGAGCCTGAGAAAGCCATCAACACCTGAGCCCTGCTCCCAGCCACCTTCAGCAGCACACGTAGCTGCGGCGGGGAGCCCACACATTGCTTAGTAAGAGAGAACAACAGCCATCTTAGTTGGGGTGCTGAAGGGCGGCTAGCTGGGCTCTTGGCCTGACATGGGTCTGCAGGCATCGTGCTGCTGCAAGGAGACACGGCAACCCATAGCTGCCATAGCAAGAGACAGCTGCCCTACCCCCTCCTACAGGACATCTCAGTCGCCCTCGTGCTGACAAAGCTCCCAGCCTTGGGTGAGCAGCCAATATCATTCACACATCCATCGCAGTATGCCAAGATCCTTACTGACACCTACACCCGGGCCCAGACATGGAGGAGCTGCCCTCATCAGCTCACAATTCCCATTCCTATCTCTGCACTGGCCAGTAATTCACCATGTGACACTGCAGCAAGTGAGCAGAAGCATCCCAGAGCCACCAGAGCTACGGATCAGCGTGGCCTCCAATACATGACCCCTCGAGTGCAATGCTTCCAGCCACCCTATGGGCTCCCACACCTGGCAGCTGCAGCTCGAGCAGGGGAGCCCAGCAGCAGCAGATCCCCCACCAGCCATGCTCCCAACTAGGACCCATGTTGCTGAAAAAGCATCTCTCCAGGCACCACGCTGGCCACAAGGGCGTTGGGCTGCCCTTCAGCATCCCTAGGGCACACCCGAGCTCTCGGAGGGCCCGGCAGTGGGCAGCGCAGGGTGTGGAAGGAGAGCAGCGGACACAGGGTCCGGAGGCTGCGGGCAGGCTGGAAGCCAGGCGGGGCGAGTGAGCAGCGGGCCATGCCCCGGGAGAGGAGACCACGGGGACCTGAGGGTGTGATCCCAACCCGTGACCGGGGCCGGGTGGGCGCTCAGGGCCGACATCCCGCCCGCCGAACCCCTTCTGCGGGCTGCAGGCTCGCGAGGCGGCTGCCCCGGCCCCTCCGCGGGTCGCCAGCGCGGGGCCCCGCGGCGCCCACCACCGCCTCTGGGGCCGCATGCCCCACTGGTCCCCGGCCCCTCCCTCCTCCTCTCGGAAAGAAACCGCATCGGGAAACTATTCGGGGTATTTTTGCTGCTTTTAACCCGATCTCGCCGCTCTGGAAAGGGGAGGAGCGGCGGACCACCGCGAAGGGCCCGGCCCCACGCTCGCCCGCCGC